TTCCTCGTAATGCTTTCTGTCTCTCACACACTCTTTTCTCGGAAACACTTGCTCGTGTTCTTGGATGTGCACATTAATGCTAATTCATGTGACAACATATGCACGTTCCACTATACTCAAATGTGCATACACACAAACACACACAGATAAACTAACCAAAAGGAGCAGAATGGACAGATATTGATGTGCACCATGTAAACCATTTCTTCAGAAAAGGTGTTGCCACTAAAACTAATTTTTAGTGTTTTCATTTTGTGTCTTTTTACTGCATAAATGAAAATTAACTTGAGCTTATATCATAACATTCACCATACTGATCATCATGTTCCCTCACTGGAAAATGACGGGCTAACATACTGTAGGTTTGGCCAATCAACAACCAGATCTACAGCTTTTTGAAAAGATTTAGCAATAACAATTTTGCCAGAGCAGACAAATGAAAGATGTTGGGTTTGGTCTCTTTTCCAGCTGGATAGATGAGCTGGTCCCTCATTTGGTAAAATCACTGGATAATTCATTCTGCTAATATCTCCGTCTGCTGATTAACTCATTTCATGCAACAAATGTAACAACAGCACAAACAAACAGAATCTGGCTGTTGCAGTAGGCAGACCGACCCCAGCAACCAGCGACCCAGCTCCATTATTTAGTTATTTTAATGATCTCCACATTGATTTGAGACTCCTTCAGTTGGGAGCTTGTGAGCTGCACCTAAGCCTTAAAGTGGAATGATTATGATATTTCCTTTATCAACACTGTCAACAAGATCCTGTGCTCCTTTGCAATTACTCACACATAGAATTAATCTTTACAAAAACCTGCTGTTTTTCTTTATGGACACGCAGAGTTAAGCATCAATCTTCACTCCTGTGTCTGCTCATGTTTGTCGCTCTTCAAACATAAACTAACAATCAGATGTATTTAGTAAGTTGGTGTTGAAATTACGATCCACTTTAACCCAAAGTCCTAGCTGTGTGTGACTCGTGTTGTGTGTGGCAGGGGAACTGCTTGAGAACAAAATGTTGGACTGGAGTCAAACAAACACAAAGTCATAGACAGGTCCTAATAAGTTCATTAGTGTTGGTTTTAAGGCCAGCGGGGAAGTGGGGAAGGAGAACACTACAGCAAGATACTCCAGCACAGTACAAGGTAACTGGGCCCAGTGTAGGTTTGCACTAATTCTGAATCGGAAGTGGTATTTTTGTATAAACCCTGCAACAGAGACAAGAAACACTAAACTGATGAATATTAGGAAATAAGTCGGGGAAAGGCAGTTCAGAGGTCAGGGTCAGCTGAAGAGCATCAGTTCAGTAAAAAGCTGGATATATTTTATTATCTTAATCACACTTGAGCAGGTTGAATGCTGAAACGATGAGTCAGAATCCAGGTTGTTGGTCAAAAACAATCAGTAAATCTCTAGGCTTCCTGCTCTTTACTTATGATAGAGTTTTCTACCACAACTACAGTAAACTTGTAAATATCCCACACATTTCCCAAACACAATGATATTGCGTGACCTTTCAGTGGGTAGAAGCTGATTAGCTCACTCAGTAAATTCTACAGAAACAGGCTGCATTATTGTGGAGAAGCCCAACAGAGTTCAAAGAGAACACAACCAAATTAATTAAAAATATGAAGAAATGATGATATACACGCGCGCACGCACGCTCGCACGCTCGCTCGCACGCACGCACTCTCTCAGAGCACTGTTCCCCAGGCACCTCAGTGGGTGAGAGTTCCTGACACATAAGCACTTTTATGACTGAATGGACCTACACAGTCAGGCTTCTGATCAGCAGAGTGGAAGAATCCCATTACAAACTGCGCCCCGTTACACACACAAACACCCACCCACACACACTCACAGATGCACACGCACATTTATTCACACAAGCATAAATGGTCATATCCGAAAGTACACACTCATGCACGCACACTCTGAGCTACAGTGTTAATTGCTGAGGCCAAAATTAGCAGGAGGTGAGGCTGCCAAAGAGCGCTGAATGACCGATGAGACAGAATTACTGACTGAGGCAGAGAGGAGGAATCTGAAGAGAGGGAGAGATGGGATGAGATAGCAGGAGGAATTAAGGGAAGTTTGCAGTGAAGGAGTGGAGGAGAAGGCCAAAGCTTCATCATCATCTCCCTTGGGTGCAGGCTGTGTTACCTTGATTATGCATTCAGCTCTCTCGCAAAAAAACACTAACCCGTCAGAAAATATTGCCCAGTCAGCCTACTTCAGCACACAGCCTGACCTTACAGTGTGTGTGTGTGTGTGTGTGTGTGTGTGTGTGTGTGTCTTTCTATGGTTTTTTATGGTCTTTGGTCATTTTTAGGCGGTCCTCACAGCCTCTTTGATGGTTAAGACTCTTCAGGTATGGGTTAGAGTTGGGTTAGGGGTTAAGGTTAGGGTTAAGCTGTGGCTAGGCTTGACAGATTGGTCATTGCGAGCGCCAACTGACCACCTCTTCCTTTCAAACTGGCCCTTGAGGCGTGAGACTCGATACAGTCTTCTGCAGTTGCACTGCTGGGAAAAATACAAAACTGCTGGAAAAGGGCAAAGAAGAGGAAACACAATCAAAAAAGGCTCTGGCTTGTTTCCTCCAAACACTTTGGGCTGGTACAAACTTCTTTGCTGTATCAAACAGATCAAAGAGTGTGTTTTCCATTGTTTCCTGCAAAATGCATCCTCTTTACCTACAGCCTGTAATTTCCCTCAGGAGCCATCTGAGAATCTCTAGGCTACCTCATCCTGACATGAGCAAGGGAGCATAGAGATAAGTGTAGATGGCATGTAACGTGTGCAAGGAGAAGAACAGTGAGTGTAGACTGAGGGGTTAGGGAAGTATGTGTTTGTGCATGTGTGTAAGAAAACGTTCTTCAATGATTTGTTGTGCAATATTAAAATTGGATTTATGAGTGAGTTAATTAGTTGATTATTGGTACTGATTAGCTATTACTTTGGAAATTACCAATACAGTTTAGAAAACCAGTCAGTATAGCCATAAAAGTAAAAACCCAAACCCATGATAGCCAAAAGATGTCAACAACAGGTTGTAACCCAGACTGACAGTGGTCATGTCACTTAAAGGGCAACTATTGTTCTGAATAGCTGCTATAAAACTAGGTGTGACTCTTGGTCACCAGAGAGTGATTCTAAAATGTTTCTGATGTTCAGTCAAAATTTCCTCTTGACCTACCTATTAGTAGATGGCCTCCTTTTCCCTTTGTGCTGCCCTCGTTCATGACCTTCAGAGAACGAATCGGAATATTTTCGTTGACCACTTGACCTTTTCGCTGTACCACTGTAAGGCCAAATATTCCGCTTGTACAGGAATATCACAATCTAATGGATATATTAAAAAGGGCAGAAACATGAACATATCCACAGATTTTGAAGAGATCCACAACAAAGCTGTCTTTAAATCTGGATATCCCTTTTTATAGAGTCATTACAGTTGACCCATATGAATATGACTCTTCTCAGTTACCCTGTACTTCCAGTGTTTTCTTCTCACAATTGCAAACAGTGCACACCACAAAAGTAATGACTCTGGGGAAATACCAATAAATCAGCAAGACTGATGCATTGGCCGATATAATTTTACTTCTGATTAATCTGTATCGATGCACACAGCAGATAATGACAAATAAGAGCAGTATAGAAACATCACATTGGGTTTGAGGTCATTTAAAGACAGTGTTCCAATTATTCAGTTTGCCCAATAGAAAGCACCAACATGTATTTAAATGTACAATTTGAAATGTTCCACTTAATTTGTATCATGGTCACAAAAAACAAAATAACAAATCTAAAGGATATATAAAAGAATGTTTGTTTAAGTTATGTATTGATATAAAAATGTCTTTGGGGTTTTTTCATCCAAAAATATCTGTCCCAAAGTACCTGCCTCAAAATCCATTATCAGTCAGGTTAAGACAAAAATAATCAGACATTTTATAAAATAACCTTATTCACTGTGTTGCCAAGAGATAGATGAGAAGATTCGTGCCACTGTTTATCTATTACATTTTAAGCTGCAGCCAGCAGGCACTAAGCTTTGCATAAAAACTGGAAACAGTGGTAAACAGAATCTCTGGCTCTGTAAAAAAAAAAAAAAAAAAAATCCTGCTACCAGCACTAGCACTCACTAATTACCATGCCATATTTGGTTTTTGTGAATCCACAGAAACATAGCAGTGTAAAAGCTTAAAACTAAGACTGAAATTGAACTTTGTTACCTTTGCTCGTATATAGCATAGCTACTTGGCAGCTGGCCATTGAAGAGACAGATATGACAGTGGTTTCATCTTCATCTTTAATTATTTGTGAGAACTTTTCAAAAGCTAAAGGCTTTTTAATTGTTGTATCTGAGGTCAGTCTTTGCTGACGTCATTAGACAGAAATGCCACATTTACATTTGTATTGTTTTTGTGCCAAAATGCATTAAAGTCAATGGGCTCTATTTTAACAACCTAAGCACATGGTCTAAAGCAGATGCTGCAACTGTATTTAAAGCTTTTTATAGTTTAATAGTGAACGTGCACATGGTTTGAAAGGGTTGTAGTTTGTCTCTAAATTAATTATGTGTGTGTTTAGGCTTAACATGCGATTGACTGCCAAATCCCAATCCTCGCCTCGGTGGATAATGGCTGATCTGTCAGGCTTCATAGATGAGCTGACAGTCTCTGTGTGTAAAAATCAGGGTGTAAAGATCTTGTACCTTAAGACCTGTTTTTTGTTGATCAAAGGCACAATCGCTTTTCAATGGGCCAACAACGCCCCTGACCACACCTCAGTTTAAAACCAACCCGACCATGGGCACTCAGATTGGGGCACTTGCATCGTGCTCGCCATTGCTTTGACTATATGTAAGATAGGGCCCACGGTGTTGTTGCGTGTAGATTTACATTTTGTGTGCATGTGTGTGTGAACAAGCTGCTTTGCTTGTTTTATTTATAACTGGACTAACTAACTGATTAGTTGTAACCACTAACAGACAGCAATCGCCTCACCACAGACTTGTACCGCAAAGAGGAAAACATCACAGTAACACCAGTGGGTGGAGCCATCCACAGCCCACGCTACCCTAATGCTTATCCCCGCAACCTGCTGTTGTCATGGAAACTGCTGTCACCGCCAGGGAGCCGCATTCACCTGGAGTTTGACGGACACTTCGGCCTGGAGGAGGCTGAGAACGGAGTCTGCAGGTAAAACATGAGATGCAGAGACACAGATAAGCAGGCAGATAGAAAACAGAGTGGTGGAGTTCAGAAGACAGAATCATAACAGGAGACATAAAACAAAAAAAGCCAAAAGGAAGAGATGAAGAATAGGAGGAAGCAGATGAAGTCAGATGAAAGTAACAGTGAGAGAGAGAATATATGATGGAGTGTTCGATTTGGAGTGACAAAGAGGAGATGAAAAGTTTAGTGAGTAAACTCTCCAGTTGAGCATTACAATATCTGAAAACAATTTGAAAATGAATTCAAAGTATGTGTGAGAAAATAATCTGCAAAGGTGCAGGGGGGTGGATTCACTGTAAGAGATGGATAGTTGAAGTTTGCTTTCTTGGCAAAGAAGTAGAAGAAGTTTGTCCTTGAAGGTGGGGTGGAGGGTGGGAGGGGTGAGAAAATAGACTTTTTAATCCCCATATGCAACTCTGCTGTCTTTGTAAGCACTTTTCTGAAAAGACAAGGGGGAGCAGCGTGGGGGAAGGAGGGGGAGGAGAGAGTAGAAAGGAGCTGTGCCATCTTCTATGGCAAATGAACTAAGTTGTTTGTATTTCCTTGTGTGTCTTTAATAGTTGTACTAACTGAGCAGACCGTTGATTGCTAGTTACTCATGCTTTTGCATAATAAATTGTACAAAAACTCTAAAGCCATTTTCAGAAATGAACAGAAAATGTCTGGGAAAGGAGATTATCCGGGTAAGACACTTTTACAACACCAAGAAAATGTCCTGAACATTCAGGTGAGAGGTGATGTCATAGGACTTATCATATAATTTCTGCTGTGGAAATCCATTGATGACACATCTTTGTCATTGTAAGATATTTGTATTCTTCCAGTTTCGTCATCAACCCTTTTTCCTGCTTAATTCTCGGACTCACTCAGACATTTTCCAAGAGGCTGGCAAGAAAAGTTGGGAAAATGTCTTTGCGTTCCCACACACAGCCCCTCTGGAAAATTTTAGGACAATGTCTGGACTTCAGTCTGACTTCATGTCTGAAGGCCAAATCACTTTTTTTATGATTTTTTTACTTTTACTCTACTTTCATTACTTCTTCTTTTCATATCTTAGTATTTATATTGTCTTTTTTCCACTCCAGGTATGACTTTGTTGAAGTGGAGGACCAATCAGAGACAAGCACTGTAATTTGGGGTCGCTGGTGTGGGCAGAAAGCTCCACCTCGCCTCAACTCCAAAAGCAACATGCTCAGAGTCACCTTCAAGTCTGATGATTACTTTGTTGCAAAGCCGGGATTCAAAGTCTACTACTCCCTGCTGGTGAGAGACCAACACACACACACACACACAC